GTGAACAGGAATACATGTTGCATTTATTTCTCCACTTCAACCACTGATGCAGGTTATATAATGAAAACATCAAAAGCAAACTCCAAACGCTACTGGATTTCATTCTTTGAGGAATCTTCCGTGCAAACCATTAAACAAGATAAAAGAGAGGAACCGTAATATTAAGTAGCGCAGGAGATGGAGTAAGGAAATATGCTTGCTTAGCTAAAATCAGAGCAGTGGAGTGGGACAACCATGCTTAGATGTCTCACATTTGCTGAAAACAGTTCAAATACAGTAAAAAAAGTAAATATTCGCTCATTTTGCCGATTGATTAATTTTTTGCTGTCTTTCTAAAGCAAAAAATAAAATAAGACAACTAGTCTTGGTCTAAACATGTTACTGTACCTTTTTGTTCAAAATCTGCATTGAATGACACCGAATATGTGCCAATACGTACAGTGACAAAATGGACTAAAGAAGATTTGTGGGAAGGGTTTGGCAAACTAAGGAGGGAAAAAAAAGTAGTCAAGAACAAATCTAATATCACAACCTCTTATCTCAAATACACTCTCAAATTAAAGAGGTGAATAAGAATTTATTCATTAGCCTTTTGTGGTCTGTACAAATAACATATTTCAATTTTTTGTGACTAGAACACAGTTTTTTGGGAATCAAGCACACCTACAGTAGTTCTTCCTTACCTTTTCTCTTCAAGAAATTATTTTGCTAAAAATCCGGATATTTGTATTTCTGTAGAAAATTTCAGAGAAATTCAACTTGTTTGTAATTCTCTTCCCGTCAGCACTAAAATTGCTAATAGAGACTAATTCGATATTTGATTGGGCAGTTACAGTACATCCAGAATTCACAGCCATAATAGCTAAATCGTTACCCTTTTTTAAAAGGAGACATTTCAAAATGTCTTCACAGTGACATACAGTATAAGAATATAGCTTATCCTTAAATTAATATATCAAGGCTCTTTTTCATTACCTTGTGAAATCATATATATTTAAAAGTATATCTTAAGTGTGTTAATATTAGACAATATGTGTTATATTTAGACAAACATGGTTATCTTCGATGCAAAATGATAAAAATGTTTAGCAATATTCCCTGTGTACCATATTGCTTAATTAATCATTTACATTAGTCATAATTGGAGAAAATGTGCAGATTTTCTATTTGCAGACTTTCACAGTCACATCTTGGCAGTTGGTGCAGAGCTTGTTTCTCTCTAAGACTGCCAATTTGATTGACAGTCTGTATTTGGCATGTGGTCTTTCAGCCAGACTGACTATTGAATCAATAACAGAGAAGAGGCTCAACAGTCTATTTAGGAAAAAATAGCACGGAAACCTAATTTTCTTTGCTGTTGTGAATAATTGTGCCCCAAAAAGAAAAAAAAAACAAGATTACATTATCAACCTGAGATAGATTTTTTTTTATTTTGTTAGCTGGGATCAATGCAATGAGACACTGGTCTTTGTTTTGTTTTTGAATGGCTATCAAAATGAAAAAAAAATGAGCTTGACTAACTGAAAAGCATTTTGAATGGGCTTTTCAAACAATTCTTTAAGCCTCTAATCCTTTAATATAAAGTATTTTGCCACACAAGAGTAGGAAAAACCTGAACTTGAAAAGTTGGTTGGTTTGAGTCTTGACTATGCACAATATGGATTAGGACATTACCTTAGGATGCACAGGGAAATGTACTATACAAAACATTTTGTGGCCAAAGACTGGAAGGATATGTTGAATGAGGGGTAGTTAAAACTGACTAAAAGATTTGAGTCCTGCAGCTAAAGCAATCAGATTCACTGAGGAATATAACTCGTTTATAGAGGACAGATGTAAAACTTGAGATTCCCTTCACATGTATCTTTATCACATGTTGGATACAGCAAAGAAATCAAATCTGGTTAAGACTTTTGCAAAAAAGTAATCTTCTTACAATTATTTTTTAATATTGTATATGAGAAATGAAATGAGAAAATGGGGAATAAACCACGAGTACTTGTATCCTTTTCTACACCCTCTGTCTATAGTATAAATACCTCTTGCTGTATTACTTGTTGTGTTTCTGTTGATTATATTGATCCCTCCAGATTGGAGGGATGATGTTGCCCTCATTCTCTACAATTCTTATTTTCTTTCTTTTCATGCTTTTGTCTTTTGTCTTGTTTCTCCACAACTCTACTTCCTCCTATCTCAAAAAGCTTGCTTCCCCATAACTCTACAGCCTCTTATCTCAATTAGCTTGTTGCCCCTCAACTCTAACCCCTCCTATTTAAAACAGCTTGTTTCACCACAACTCTACCCACTCCTATCTCAAACAGCTCGTCTCCCCTCAACTAGGCCAACTCCTATCTCGAAACCCTTGTTTCGCCTCAACTAGACCCACTCCTATCTCAAACAGCTTGTTTCCAGCAGCCATATCACTATGCAACTCACAACTTGCAACCCACTGAATTTAAGCAGGTGTGAGCCTGGTCAGTACCTGGATGGGAGACCTCCTGGGAAAAACTAAGGTTGCTGCTGGAAGAGATGTTAGTGGGGCCAGCAGGGGGCGCTTACCCTGCAGTCCATGTGGGTCCTAATGCCCCAGTATAGTGACGGGGACACTATACTGTAAACAGGCGCCATCCTTCGGATGAGATTTAAACCGAGGTCCTGACTCTTTGTGGTCATTAAAAATCCCAGGGTGTTTCTCGAAAAGAGTAGGGGTGTAATCCCAGCGTCCTTCCCATTGGCCCTTACCAATCATGGCCTCCTAATAATCCCCCTCTATGAATTGGCTTCATTACTCTGCTCTCCTCCCCAGTGAGAGCTGGTGTGTGGGGAGCGTTCTGGCACACTATGGCTGCTGTCGCATCATCCAAGGGAAATGCTGCACATTGGTGGTGGTTTAGGGGAGTCCCCATTACCTGTAAAGAGCTTTGAGTGGAGTGTCCAGAAAAGCGCTATATATGTGTAAGCAATTATTATTATTATTATTATTATTATTATTATTATTAACTCTACCTCCTCCTATCTCAAACCCCCTGATTCCCTTCTATCCACTCTACACTTCTTCTGCTGCTTTAGTTGCTCTTTCTCTTCACTTCCCTGTGAAGCAACAGACATCTAGAGAAATCAAGACTGCTCCTGATTGGACATATATGGCTACAGCCTGGTGCCCCTCAATGTCCAACTTGTTTACTTAACACCTGTAGACCCTGAATGTTTTTGGTTACAATGTATAAACTGTAATCACCTTTGCATGTGAATCATTCTTCTTACTATGAGAGATCATATCCCTAGCAACATTTTGATTTTCAGTGCAAATATGTTTGCTTTTCTGCTTTTGTAATAATATACTCATATGTAATATCATCATCATTGCTTTCAATTCCTGATTATCCAATTCAGGTAGTTAAATATAATATATAATATATAATATATAATATATAATATATAATGCCGTATTTTGCATTCTTTTTAAGAATATAATTATTGATAAATTCCCATTATACTACTCCACCTGGGGTAATTTATATACCACATCCATTGTGAAGTAAGATTCTTGAATATTGCACTTTCAGTCAAGACATCAGTTAATAATATCACACAATGTACGGTACATAATCTCAATAGCATATACTGTAACTACACTGGAATTATGGACATTGATTGTAAAATCTTAAACACTTTCCGGTGACAGCTCTGAACCACACGCAAGTTATTTAATCAGAAATGATCATTCATTTGTAATCATAGGAGATCGAAAGAATACGGTCAATCTGAAAACCATCAAGAATTATCTATGAGGGCTTTACTTCTGATTTTTCCCTGCCTCAATGCGTTTAATATACTGTAAATGATTAGATCTTGGATTGTTAAACGTCTCATTTAATCCCGTGATACATATTAAAGAAAGAAAAAGTAAACCACATTTTCTTTTAAAAACAGTTTTCATTTTAGTTTATTTTATATTTACCTAGCCCTAACAGATTCAATCCACAGGTGAGAAAAAACAATAAAATTAATTTAAAAGACCAGTCACAACAAAAATAAAAGCCTCCAGAATGTCACTTGGTAAACCTCAGACAAAATCCCATTTTATGTACCACCTGTTAAACGTTTCATAATGTTTCCAATGAACAGATTGCAGTAAGTGGTGAAACTGTAATATGCAGTAATGAAAAAACACAATGTTAAATGTCTCTCCCAGCACCTGAGGAGACTGAGATCTGTAATGCAAATAATCTCTGTTTTATTGGTAAATTAACCACCAGTTTAAAGAAAAAGCATAGGCTATCTGAGTCATCCAGTTAATATTTATGAACCAATCCAAAACGGTCTCTAAAATGCTTTCAAAATTTCCCAAAACAAAGTAAAAAAATTAAAGGCATCATCCAACCTTAATACCTCAGTGATTTCTCCTTTATCTGTAAGGTAAATGTGTGATTCAGGGACACAAACATCATTACTTTGTTAATTCAAGGTTAGGGAGCTATTTCATCGTTCTCCACTTTTGACAGAGTAATGCGGCCTTGCTCTTAAATTTTCTTAGCTAGTTTATCACCTTAACAGAGGACTTTTATCTTTGTAATGACTAACATTCTCCTGAAAATTTCTGAAAGTAATAGAGGGGACACAGTCCGTGGCTATTGCAATCATCTCAATTTTAGCAAGCATATAGACCCATTTCCCAGCAAAACAATCCTGCAACTTGTCTCCTTCTGCTTTGAGGAATCTCTACAAGCTCTGTCTCACCCTTTTCAATAAACTTTAAGAAGCTGCTTGCCGAAGTCATACAAGGAGACTGTTACATTGCTTTTGGGGTTTTGTTTTAGTTGAAAATGCTTTGAGAGGTTCAATCAAAGCGTATTATTATTTTTAAAATAAGCGTGTCATTAAAAAAACAATTATTTTACCGGGAAAAAAAACAATTCTGCTGTTCTAAAAAACACCTCTTTTAATTTTAAGGTTAAGTTGGAGACTCTTGAAACCAGGAAATGTTTTTCTTAACTTACATCACCATGTCCAGCTTGAAGAATTTTCACTCCTGCCTCCTTTTCCAGACTGATTTTCTGTTTGACTGTAAAACACAAACAATACAAACAATGAGAGTGGTGAGGAATAATGCACAACTTTAAAGTAATTCATATTTCAGAAGATCATTGGAATTCAGTTTTAAGAGACAGCAGCCAGAATTCTGCTAATTACTTCGATCTTTACATCTTCACTAAGAAAATATTTTTTTAGGATTCAGATAGCATGAGATACAGTATACTGTACCATAAAATCATAAGAATATTATAATCAACTAGCAAAAAAATCTTAAAAAATCAAACTGACATTTTTCTGTATGTTCAAATACAGTATATTTAAATATAGATATATACAATATATTATATCTTTTTTGTTGATTTTACAAATAAAAGGCAGATTTGTGAAAATTAAATGACATACTGTACTGTAAGAATCGTACCACATGAAACAAGGCAAACAGTGGCTGTCATATTTTAATGAGCATTTGAATCAGCCCTCACGGATAAACTGAAGCCACATGGTCACCATACCAGCAAAAATAAATTTAAAATTTCAAATTGGTATTATTGCTAAACAGATCTGAAATCAATCACTATGTTTAAGACATACAGGTTAGAAAGCACACTTCTCTTATACAGACACATAAAGAAAAGGGCATTCAATTTGCTGTAAAACTCACAGAGAGACATACTGCATGTTAATAAAACTGCCAATTCATCACATAAGACAGATGAATGAATGTAAGAACATGAAAATATCATTCCTCCATTTGCAAGCAGAGTAAGAAAAACAAACACAAAAGTGATGTCTGAACAGCTTTGAACAATTCGGCAGCTGTTCCTTATCAGAAATTTCTGAAAAATATCTAATAATAACATTTAATATACTGTATAATCAGTTCATTGATTCTCACAGTACAATAGAAAAGAGGTTTGATTTCCCAAATATTGAAATTACATTACACTTTTTTTCTGCATACATAGTTACAGCTTTTCAAATTTCATCTGGTATTTGAAGAAAAACATTTTAATTATAAAATTAAATAATGTAAGTATTCATAGTTTAGTCGATGCAAAGGCACAACTGATTTTTTTAAAGAATGCATAAAATCATTTTTTTTGTTTCCATGTAAATGCGTCAAAGTGGGTAAAAAAAAAAACATCCCTTAAATCATATTCCCCAGATGAAGGATATGCAAATTACCTGAAAGAGCTGAACCCTATAATGTACTCAAAAATCTGCAATAGCCTATTTAATTAGTATTTTAATTTATCAGAATAATTCTTTGCACTTGACAATTTATGCAGTATTCCATATAATTAAGCACGTAGGTTCGGAGGAATAATGTGGTTGCAGCTCTTCATCTGGGTTATTTTAACCTAAAAGGATCCATGGCTGTCTCTTCTGTGATCAAAATAACAATAGGAATGTCTTAATGGTTTTGTCAGAAAGCATCTAAGAATCCCCCTACGATGTAATATGATGAGACTCCAAGGCAACTGATTATCCAAACTGACCAAGCACTGGGATAAGTCGAAATGGAAAACAGATATCCATTATTCTCACAGAGATAATGCATTCATTGTGCACACATGCTTATAGTGTATAATAGATATATGATGTTCAAATACATGGAATCCTCATACAATGCTAAATACAATGCAGAAAAAAGAGAATTTATAACAAATTTCAAATGACTTTTTTCTTTATATTATCCATTATTACATTCGTATGTTGAAATTCAATTTCAGATAGAATGCAACATCATGCAAAACTACTGTATATTAATGTACTGTACTGTTTATCTTCCAGTCCAAGACTTCATAAAGTCAAAGTATTTGAAACAGATACAGTAAATTCTGTTTTAAGTCAAAGTGAGGGATTCACTCGTATGCTAATACTGCAAACAAAAATGTTTCACTTGTGACTAAAAAATTAAAGGTCAGCACTCTATACTGCTGGAAAATTAAATGTTTTTTCGATAAAATTGATGCATTATAATTTGTAAATACTGCACAAAAGGTAAATTTTTTAGTGTTATTTATTTACATTATCTAATATGAAAACCTTTATTTTTTTTCTCAAACTAAGAAATAAATACAGAAAACCACTCAAATCTTGTTTTGCGAATTGTGTACCACCTTTTCTGTCATCCCAAAATCCAGAGGAAATTCCAAATTTCCATTTAAATTTAAAAAAGCATACAAGTGCTTTTAATTACCCATGAATAGTTAATAACCAATTAAGCAAAGAAAATGTAAATAAAAACTGCAAAAAAAAGTACATTATTATAATAAATGTCCAGTGTTACTTACTGTATATTTTTAAAGCTTTAGGAGCAAAGTATTGCTTTCTTGTTGCAAACATGAGTGAATATTGTAATCAACACTTGGACAGTGTGTTGTCCCTACTATCTGCTTACTGATAATAAGCTACTGTACCAGATGAGTATTTAGACAAATGAGGTTTCATACAAATAAAACTCCAGGTGAAAATAATGTGTTACCTTATTCTCAGGAACTCAGTTACATCTAAATTACAATTTGACACACGCTAAGAGTAAAGAGTATTTTGTAAGCAGCATTACCCCCACCCCATATTGTGTATCGTGACTGACAAATGATGAGTTTTCATCTTACTGCAGTTTTTCTTTTCCTGTATCTTAGTTCGCTTCCTTCCTTCTTTCTTTAGAGACTCTTCATCACTTGCCAAAAAATTTTAAAACCTCTCATTTCTTGTACACAACGTGCAAACATTTGTCCATGGCTATGTTTCCTCCTACGCACAGAAAAAAAAAATAGCACAGCTTCTAAACAGTATTTATCTGGGTTGACGGTGAATAATCTGAAGGTGCAGACAGCACCAGCTGTAGCAGAGAAGGTTAGGAGAGATTCATTGTGAAGGTTAAGAGCACCCCCTCCACCAGTGACCCCTGAAGCCACCACTAAAGAGTCAGAGTGGGATTTAAATGTCGTCTTCATGGACTCCGGAGTCTCTCTGTTTATCTGGGCTGTACTGCCTAAGCAGCTGGGCCTCAAATCGAATAGAAAAGAAAGCCAGATTACACGAGTGAAAAATAAATAAATGTATTGTAAAATCATAAAGTACGGAAAGTGAAAACTGCTCACAATTTCATACAGTACATGAAAAAACAAGGCTTTCACTGCTATTTTACTTTTGTCACTTTAGAAACTTTCTGCCAGGTCGGAAAACAGTATGAAGAAGTGGGCATCACATCCGGCAATTTGAATGAAATCACTGAATTTTGAGTAAAAGTGCAGTTTCAAACTGGTAAGCATTAATGCATGTTCTTGCCATTCCTTTGCATTTCAACCTTTAAATCATTTTTCTTCTCAACAAAACTTGCTGCGGCTTCGCAAGGAAACGACAAAGGCCGTAATTAGGCCCTGTTGGAAGCAAGCAAGTCAATTAAAAGGTCAGAAGCAGTGTTTTGTCTTAATGAGGAGAGCTTTGAGAACCATACGGTGAAATTTAAGACTAGAGATCCTGCCTGCATGCACCCACACACAATTTCCTACTGGTGTATGGCTTCAAATCTCTGTGAACCATACTGTATCTCTGGACTTTCTTGATACAGTACATTTGAACTTGATTTCAACTAAATGTCATGCCCAAGACAACAATGCACTCTCAAATGAATACTTACTCAGGTTCAAAGCACTCTGTCTGAATTCTGCACATCAGTCTCCAGCTCAGTACTTTGGAATTTTTAATAATTCACAGCATCTCTAATTCCTTTCATATACAGTATGAGCCTTCTATCAGTCTTATTGAAAATTCACAGAGGACGTTAAATTATATAAAATACAGAATTGTTCGGCCAATTTTTCCAAACTGAAATTCTTAAAAAAGGTCCTTAGAAAAGGTATTTTGCTTCATATGTCTAAACTTTTTACTGTTGTTTTCATTCCCTACATCTTTTACGACATCTACAGTATTTTAATGTTTTTTGTCATTTTCTTGTATTTCTGTTCTTCTGAAATAATATTTAAACCTTTTTTAAATTAACATTTGATATCACTATTGTACTTCTTATAATTTACTGTATTTTTAAGTGATAACTGCCTAGCAAATAATGCAATGCAATAAAGCTCAATTTGAGAAATACAAACCCTGAAGTCTCAAATGCAAAATATCCTTTTTTAAACCTGAAGAAAGATCATCATTTTGAAAGGTTTTACTGAGGGAAGTTAACAATCTTATTATTTTAATGAATTTATCAAAAAAGAATCCTTAGAAAACATTAAAACACCTCCAAGTGCAATTCAGTTTCTTCTGACAAATTGTGCAGGTGTAATCAGATTACTTGATCATACTGCTAACGATCCTGAGAAAATGAAAATATATCACAACATGATTTGTTTTCCTGGTTTCACTTGAATATGTACTGTATAAGACCATATCCCCTTGCAGATAATGTACTGTAGATTTGTTTTTTGAGGGAGAAGTACAGAGTAATATCAAAGCAAATGGTAGAAATAAATAGAAAAAAAAGCCAGGGGAGTGTTAAAAAGATCCAATAAGCATCGTTCTTTGCTATCACCTCTTTTTTTGTAATAAAAATGGGTCCAGCATACAGTAATATTCATGACAGGCTGCGTAAATGCTGATGTCAAAACCAATTTTAAAGTCATTTTTCAAATGATTTTAATTAGATATTGTTTCGGTCTCACTTGCATTAATTTAATTTCTGATATCAACATTTCAGCATTCAATCTGTTCAAATGATTTTTTCACACTGTCTTATTGCCTCTAGTAATTTAAACTGCAATATGAAGCATGGACAATATGAGTCTTACAGCCTCACAAAGACTGTGCAATATCCAATAAAATTAAAAGCAGGGGGTGGAATAGTGTCGGAGGACACCTGGGGCACCAACCTATTCCTCTTTGTAGAAACTGAAAAAAACGCAGTTTGTCATATGTTGTCAACTACATTACACCAAAAAGAGTTACCGTATCAAGCATTTTTCTATCCATATTAGCTTTTAGCCCTGAACTGATCCACCCCATCTCTAATAAAGG